TATATATATATTAAAGATACAGATGAAATAGAAAATGGATCTAAATCTAAATAGAATATAAATTTTAAATTTGAATGAATCCGTTCACTATTATGTATGCTATATGTAAATATATGATCTGTACAGCCATTAGGGTACTCACCCGACCAGTGCACACATGATTGTTACTCGTTGTATCACATTCATCAATGTCTCGGCAAGAAGTCTTGTCAGACGCCAAAGTGTAGCCACGTGGACAGGAACATTGATACGAACCGGGCGTGTTAATGCAGAAGCTAATAACGGGTTTATTTCAAATGCAAATGATTGATTGATTGATTGGTACGATTAGGGTAATGTATATATACTAGTCTTTACATAAAGTTTAATAGTCATTAAATTTTGTAGGGTTAAGTAGCAATAATTCTGTGACAATAAAAATTTATGATGTAAAATTATAACGAGAAAATGGGATGAATCACAAAACAAGTAAGAACGTTGCAGTCGGGCGTTACCGACTGCGGAATACTTATTCTCATCCCATCAGCAATTTAGTACCTAAGCTTCGCTCTAATACTGTACAAAATTCAGTTTTTCCCGATTTGTCACGCCCCTACTGGGCGTAGGCACCTCACCTGGTCAGTTCTTAGAACGAGCTAAAGGTACCATAACTGTAAAATTTGATTGCTTACGCTATATATAAGGAAATTTGAAAAAAAAAAAACTTTAAGTATCTAGCTCTTATATCTTCTGAAATCAAAAAAAAAAAAAATACGGACAGAAGGACAGACGGACTGACAGAAGGACAAAAAAAAAGACAGACAGGCGGACGGACGGATGGACAGACAGACGGACAGGGCCAAATCGACTCAGCTCGTCGCCCTGATCAAGAATATATATACTTTATGGGGTCTGCCACGCCTCTTTCTGCCTGTTACATACATTTCAACAAATCCAATATGGCCTGATTTCCCATTTTTAATGGGTTCAGGGTATAAAAAAGAAAAACAAGTAAGAAGGCTCTAGTCGAGACTGCTTGACAGGATATACCCTGAACGCTGCAAAGGTCAGATATTCGGTACTCCTTAGCAGCGACTGCGCTTGGGCTGCAGTATTAGCAATATTATGGTAATTTACTTGTTGAATAATTATACCATGAATCCATTGAAAATGGGAAATCAGGGTTTAATGGTTTTTGGAATAATAATATTATAATATAATCTATCCATCTAATCCGCTATCTACGTGTGTTAAATGGAGTCTAGCCAGTTATGAGATTGACGGTCGTAATGATATTCTAAATGTATTTAAGCATGAGCAGAACTATTAAGATATTTGTAAATGCAAAAAAGTTAATTCTATACCCCATGCACAGTTTATAATCCTTATGCACTTCGCATTCATCAATATCATTGCATGTCCTATTATCGTGGCTGAGTTCATATCCCTGATTGCAGGTGCAGCGATATCCACCCCAAAAGTTAACACACTTTTGCTGACAAAGTCCTGGTATGGACTGACACTCATCGACGTCGAAGCATTGACCATGGGCATACCCATTCTCCTGGTCCATACTATTCGCATTGCTATTGAGAGACTTCCTTTGGAAGCCTGGCTTACATTCGCAGTAATATGAGCCAATTGTATTATAGCAGTTTGCATTTGATGAGCAAACAGGGGCATCCTCTGCACATTCGTTAATATCCTCGCAGCTGTTGACACTATCGGACAGACGAATCACCTGATGTCCTGCGGGACAGGCGCAAATGTAACCACCATTCCGATTGCGACATATCTGCTTTTCGCCACAGTTGTGATCTCCAGTCTCGCACTCATTTATGTCTGCGAAAAATATAAATTAATAAGAACGTTGTATCGTTCCCACGATTCGAAATTTATATAATAAAACAAACTCTAGTCGAGACTGCTACCCTAAACCCTCTAATCATCAGATTGATATTCTAATCAGTCTGCACTTCTTTTCGACACACATATATACACATTTTCAATGGGAAGTCAGGGTATAATGGTTTTGTTGAAATGTATGTAACAGGCAGAAGGAGGCGTGGCAGTATATATATTCTTGATCAGGGTGACGAGCTGAGTCGATTTGGCCCTGTCCGTCTGTCTGTCTGTCCGTCTGTCCGTATGTWTGAACGCGTYRATTTCMGAAGATATAAGAGCTAGAGACTTCAATTTTTTTTTAAATGTCCGAAAATTACAGCGCGGATATCGAGTTTATCATTAAAAATCGATAACTCATCTCGATCTTTTTTATCGATAAAAAAAACCTTATCGAAAACCAG